AAAAAATAATTTTTACTGCTTTTGAAGTGTTTGCTTTTGTTCTACTAGAGAAACTTTGACACGAATGARTTATCTATCACGATTTACTCAAATAATTTCTTTTAGTTCTTAGACAATTCATCTAGTGGTACTTTTTTTTTTAATTTTCCTTCTTTGTAAAGTTACATGTAAACAAAAGACTTAAGCAACAAACTGAAACTTATTTAAGAAACTCCTACTACAGTAAGCATAAAGGAATACAGTTTACTGATATTGGTTAGTCGAGAAAGTCATTTCGTATTTTGTCAATAGGTGTCGTTGCAGTCGTATAACTCCATTGCTACCAATAACATCGTGTCATACCATATAGTGTTGGAATGTAAGTAAAAGAAAATAAATTCGGGGAAGTCAAAAAAAGTTACTGTTGTTCAAAAATGAGTGAAAATAATAAATAAATGTTGCTTATAATTTGAAATTTTTGTATAAAAAAGGGAAGAATGTCACGCAGGCCACCAATGAAATGCGGAGACCGCGCTGTATCAGTTCGTGTAGCAGAACAATGGTTCACTCGCTTCCGTTCTGGAAATTTCGATGTGAAATATGTACCTCGCTCTGGTCGACCGATCGTTGAAAAAGTCGATGAAATTCTGGGAGAGATTAACCAGCACCATCACATAAGCAGCCATAACATCACTAAGGAACTTAACATTCATCATCAAACGGTTTTAAACCATTTAAAAAAGGGCTGGCCACAAAACAAGCTCGATGTTTGGATACCACATGAATTGTCTATGCTGTATAATTTAATGGGCCGAAGCAATATTTGCGATTATTTGCTGACACGAAATGAAATCGAACCACTTCTGAAGCGAATGATAACAGGAGATGAAGAGTGGATCAAATACGACAATAATGGATCATGGTTCAAGCCTGTTGCAGCTCAACACATTATGTGGAGTGTTTAGTGGAATTGGAAAGAAATCATCCACTATGAGCTCTTCCAGCATCGTCGAACGATTGATTCTAGTTTTTACTGTCAACAACTAATGAGATTGAAGCAAACAATCGAAAAAATGACCAGAACTGATCAGCAGAAAGGGCTTCGTCTTTCATCAGGAGGGCTTGGCTGGGAACTTTTTACGCATCCACCATATAGCCCAGATCTTGCAACAACGGACTATCACCTATTTAGGTCAATGCAGAACTCCCTTAATGGAGAAAAGTTGGCTTCAAGAGTGGCAATTTTTTGGCCATTTCCTCTTTCAATAGCTCCTCTTGTGAAGCGTGTTCACAAGTTGATCAGTTTGGACCCAATGGTATTTTATTATCAATGAAACAATTTCGCCAAATTTTAATAATATATCTCACTGATCGATTGATATTTTCGACAAAAAACCAGACCACATATTTGGCGCCTGGGTTATTGAAAAGTTATAGTCCGTTTTGAGCATAGGATGAGGGCTCTATTTGTRAAAAGTTTTATCCGAATACACTGAATGCATACTGGAAAATGAAGAAATTAGATGAACTTTCAAATTGTGTTATATATGTATGAGTTATGGTTTTTTCCTGATGAAGGAAATAGGAATTTTTGGATAATATTACATGCCAAATTAGGTTGAAATCGGTGTAGTATGTCCCGAGATATAGATTTTCGCCTAAATGTAGACCACGTCCACCACCCAATTTTGACACTTGCTCCGATAAAACAAGTTTTTGTCATTCTGGATGTTAAATTTAACGTCTCTGACGCATTTAAGGAAACCATTTTATGAGGACGCAAGAAGTGTCGAAATGATATGTTGCACCCATTTGGGTGATATAGCTTGAATGGTTTGGGAAAAATATGTGGCAAGTAATAAAATTAGATAATATTGGCACAAGATCAACTGCAAAGATATCTTTCATATCCACAACGTCAAAATTTATCTCCAAACAGACGATGATTGCACTCCACCACGGATCGTTTACATATCTGCTGACCAGCCAGGTATCGCAGGCAATTCAAGCGGACTTTTTATTATTCCAGGTATTCATAGTAGCAATCAGTACACTCTCAGTGAGCAACAGTTTGAAAACCACTTGAGTTTCCAAYCATACAAGTGTCCAGTGGAGAGACACTATCCAGTCTAGGATAAACAGCCWCTCTATCCACATTTCAAACTTCACAAATAACTGATATTGCTTAATATATGACAAACAAAAGTTATTTTTTTTTTTTATTAAATTAGGAAATAGCTGTGTGCTTCCSCCACATCGGTAAACAACGTTTCGCAAACTTATCGCGAAGATTCCACAAAATTCAATATTTGCGATAGATGATGAGAAAAAAATTATAAAAATACAAGAAAAATGTAAGACAACTAGTTATGCCTCACATACGTGCGTATGTCTATACAAACAATTAAGCAAATGTGCTAATTTTATATAGGTATCTACATATGTATGTATGTACATATGTATATGTGTGTGTGAGAGTATAATTTATAAAGTGTCGCGCGCTCGAGAAGGCAATAACAAACACATCATAAATAAACATAATTAGCACAGATTTATTAATGACAAATTGAAAGCACACATACAGACATATGTACATACACGCAAACATATGCAAATGCATAATTATGCATGAATATGACATTTTTTGCAAACAAAGCACAGAAATAACTCGAATTTAAAAATATTTATAGATATGTATGTATGTTATGCATATGTACATATATATATGTATGTTAGGCATCTTGCGAGTAGACGAAGGTATTTGGTCCGCCTGCCTGGCTGCTTTGTTCAAAGTTGGGTCTAGGCGAACCACAAGCCAAGTGATGACGTGAGTCTGCTGCGAAGGCGTCAACAAATAGCAAAGAGGGCCAAACTTTTGCGCATGAATACATTTTCTCCACATTTACATACATACATATGTATATGTCAGATTATTTGCRTATGTTAAGAGCCGAGTTTTGCAAATATGCTGGCGGTAGAGCGAAAAAACAAAAACGAATTAATTTCAAACAATCAACCCACAAAGCATCACGCCAAGCAACAACATAATGACGGGCCAACAACAAAACAATCGAAAAACGGTGTCAATTTATAGCTAACACTTATCTGTAAGCCGCACGTAAACAAAACACACATTTAAATATGTATGTGTGTATATTTGTGGCTTTCTGGCATCAGCCACGACTCCAATGGATGCTCCGCCTGTGCGTGACATTAGCAGCGATTCAGCGCGTCGATGGCGATACAAAAGCCATCATAAATTGCCATTTAACATCGCCAACAAACTATTAACTTGATCGATGCCACTCTGCGCACACATACACACGTACGCGCGCGCTCAATGAAATAAGGCTAATTTTGTAATGACTCGCAGCATGCAAATTTCGGCATTCACTTTTTATCTCTTTGGATAAAAATAAAACCATACCTTTTTACACAAATGCATACATATGTGTGTGTGTGTGTGCGTTTGATAATTAATTTGAAAATGCCCATAATTTATTTAATTCGCAGAAAATTGTAGAAAAATATTGTAGAAATGCATGTCAGCGGGTGATSGGGTCAATGACCGATATTTGATAATGTTGAAAGCGAAATTGCTAGAGGCAGCCTTTATGCGCTTATAGTTCRTTGCTGGAGTTTTATTGTAGCTTCAAATTAAGAAAATTGATAGTTTATATATTTAGCTATTTATATTAACTTTATGGCAACTAGTAGTTTAAATAGGATAGTCAGATAGTAGCTTGATTTCAATTCTGTACAATTTGTAATTTTAAGGTTAATCTTCTTCTTCTTTATTGGCGTAGACACCGTTTACGCTTATATGCGATGTTTAGGCGGCGTATTCCACGGTAGTTGGCGCAGTGGTCACTTAAATTCCAATCGTTGGGCATGCTTTCGGCCGACCATATTCTACAAAGAAGCTGATGCATGCTCCTTATCAGTTCTTCAGTGCCGTAGCTGAATAACTCGGCCGGCAGTCCATCGGCTCCGTTGCTTTGTTGTTCTTCAGACGGGTAATTGCTATTCGAACTTCTTCGTGGTCCGGCCATACAACGTCCGTTCCATCGACATCGATTGGGGAATCGGTTTCACCATCTCCGGGTGTTATTTTTTAACAGCCGTTCGCAGACTAGAGAAATGTTCTSTCCATCATTTCAATATGCTGTGGGCATTAGTCACTATATCACCTCCAAGAGTATGCCCCGGACCGGAAAGCTTCTGCTAGTCGCCGCATCTTTTCGTAGAATTTTCGAGTCGYCCAGCTTGTTAAACTCTTCGTACTTACGCATTTCGACCTATCTCTATGTTTGTCTTTAAATGCGTACGTTTCCCTCTGCACCTCTCGCAAAAAAATCCACCGAATTTCGACCGCCAAGCTTAAAGAAAACCTAACTCATTTTTTAYCGGTGACAGCTAACTGGCCAGCTATCCCTCTAGAAACCCTAGGAATGGATTAGCCAAACAAGCCTTGGCTGGGATGGTCTTGATGTGAATTCAAAGAATTTTGGCTTATGGGGTTAAGTGGGTTTAAAATTTCCAAAAAATCGTTTTTTTTTTTTGCTT